GACAACAAGCAAAGCACACAAACTAAAATAAGAAAACAACAGTAACCAAAATTTTGAACAGTCAGATTTAGCACTGAGTTTTTACGAAGTGTTACGGGTCATCTCACCAATGATACGTACATGCAACTAATAAATACTCACTATGACAAGGAACTGTCTCCAACTTTTCCTGAAATCCTTGTCTTGGCCTTAAAATAGCATTTGTTTTATTTATCTTTGCCCCTGTCTTCTTGTTGCCTAACTTCACTTCTTACACATTGTTCAGTCCTGAACGTCCCGTATGCACTGCTTCTAGCTCACAGATTCTGTTGCAATAAAGTCTGTAATTCAGCTACCATCATTTTAGTTCTGAAGGCAGTCACCTCGATAAACACCATTTGTTTATTTAAAAATATTTTAAGTCTTTTAACTATAGCTTATGTCCATATCTGTCTCACATTTTCGTATAGGTGATAATAGTATAATAACATTTAAACTCTCAAGTGTTTAAAAGCACACCCTACTGCTTAATTATCTTTTACTGGGGAAAATATGCATTGTAGACTTGTTTTCTGTAAGCGTTTTGCAAAACAAGTAATTCCTTTTATGCATGGCCGTATTTGTTTTATGAGATTTAAAATACTCCAGGGTAATTTCTGTATCCTCTCATTTGAGATATGAACATAACACTTACAATCATATGCTACCTCTATGAGAAAGATGCCACTGATTCACAAAGTACATATGCTTTGAGTCATTTACACATGGGTGGAGGTGAGTTATACTAACAACGTATGCCTACTCACATCATGTAATGACAATCTAGTATGTATTAGTGGAGAAGAAATCGAGTCATAGAGTGTGATTATTGAACAGAATGAATCAAATTACTTTGAAAGGGATACAGTTAGACTCTCACTCAGAGTAAAACCTAATCCTTGGCCATTGTTTTCTGAAATGTTACCAAGAAATTCTTGATACACTGGGGTATAATATCGCTTCATTTGTCATTGATCATTTTTGATACTTGATAGATGGGGAAAGACGGTGGTCACCAAAATACAGAAAGAAGGATGTTAAAGAAAATAAGGAAGAAGAACAACAAAGATCATTTCCTCTTAAGAATAGGGAGCATCTTAAAAGCTGCTACTCATTTCTTACCTCTCCTGTTAACTTGGTGTGTTTCATAAACTATGTCAGACCAGAAATTAGTTGACAGTGCAACTTAAAACAACTATTCCAGCAGGCTTTTAAAAACACGGTGCTGCACAATGCTGTTTTATGGAATCATAATTGCCAGACACATCATAGAAGCCATTACTGCCTATGAATTTCCAGGACATACTGAATTATCTGAGTGGAATTTACGTGCAACAGTGAAGCACAAATCTAGGAACAGAAATCTTGCTGTCTGTATTAAGTCCACAATGTAATCTTGTCTCTCTCTGGTCTTGTTATATTCTAGAATGAGATATAATTTAATATACTGGAAGTTATGTTGTGATATACCAACCATCTGTTTATAAATAGATCTCCACTGTACCTAGGTGTATTGGTTAATTTTTCTTCTTGAGACTCATGAATGCCAGGTTATCTCTAGAATAACAAGAACATGGATGTATTGTTATCATCATCATCATTAAAAATAGCAAGGGAAAGACTATTTGCAGGGCACTACATATTATGCACTGAGTTAAATAATATGCAGTTATCACTGGGTTCTCAATTATAATGTGGTTGTAACCAAATCTCCTACAATGATATATGTGATAAGAGTTCCTTTTGGGCTTGTCTGAGTCACATGTGTGGTGAAGTTTTTCTATTATTCTTTACTGAGATAAAAGGATGAAACCTATTATTTTGGAAGATGCCTGGTCCCTTGGAGGGTTATCCCATCAGTTAAAGTGTGTTTTCCTAATCTTTGTTACCACCTTGTGTTTCTTTTCATTTTAGTGGTTTATACACATGAAAGAGCCCAGGATTCTGAGTTGTGTTAAAAGCTGTGTTAAAACCCACATCTGTCTGCTCTTGAGGGAAGAGTTCTCTCTACATGGCTTCTGCCCTCTGCCCAGCCTGTGAGGCATTCCATCTGCCTATGTCTGTGAGGAGGCACACAGCCTCTGGGGCTGAACCAGTGGGGTCAAATAATGTTCTCACCATTTAGTATAATTAACTCCAACCTCCCGTCCGTTGCAAGCCCCAGTGCAGCCAACACAAGCAAGAGTAGGCCAAGACGAAATTTCTCCTCATTATTAAGCCTAAATCTAAGCACTTGTCTGTCTATAAAAACAGAGCGAAGGGAGGAAAACTGAAACCAGTGCACGGGGTCTGAGGTTTCAATAAATGTCAGGGAGCGTCAAGTCTGTTTGGATTGCAAATTATTGCTGGCTGACGGTCTTACTAGAGATTGCTGTCATGGGGGGCATGTGGTGGGAAGAACCTCTCACATCACAGCCAGAGGGGAATAGAAGTTACCAAATACTATAACAATCATAAAACATTACAAGAGGGACTTCAGCATTTGCTAAGTTTGGTCCTTCCTTAACGAACATTTCAAGAAACAACAGCCCACAACACACTGCTCTTCCCATAGGATTTGATGAAGTGTTGGGTTTGCCAAAGATTGAGACCTCATTTCTCTGGTTTACCTGTTCTAAACTCCACTCCGTTTCTTTCTTTGGCTGTGCCACTTTAAACATCTGAGAGTGATAAAGAGGCCTAAATGTTTCAAGGTGAATTAATAATACCTTACTACATGTCCTGGAGAAATAGACACCAATAATTTGAGCAGTGGTTAAGATTTTTTTCAGATTGATTAAATGAGTGGGCAATTATGATTAAAATAAACCTAAGGCATGAACCTTCCAGCCCTGTCCATGGCTGAACACAGGTCAGCCACTTTCTATTGGTAGAAAGATTTTTCGCATTATTAGAAGTACACATGCTTCTTGGTGCTTCTGCTGAAGCTAATTAACATTTTCATTCACTTTTTTTTTCCTGACAAATGCTTGTTGAGAGTTTATTATGTGCCAAGTATTGTGTTAGGTGCACTGAAAACCAAGAAAATGATTATCTGCATTCTTCTGGAGCTCAGAGTACAGAGCAGTTCTTTTTTTTTTTTTTTTTTTTTTTTTTTGAGACGGAGTTTCGCTCTTGTTACCCGGGCTGGAGTGCAATGGCGCGATCTTGGCTCACCGCAACCTCCGCCTCCTGGGTTCAGGCAATTCTCCTGCCTCAGCCTCCTGAGTAGCTGGGATTACAGGAACGCACCACCATGCCCAGATAATTTTTTGTATTTTTAGTAGAAATGGGGTTTCACCATGTTGGTCTCGATCTGTTGACCTCGTGATCCACCTGCCTCGGCTTCCCAAAGTGCTGGGATTACAGGTGTAAGCCACCGTGCCCGGCCCAGAGCAGTTCTTTTGACCAAGGCTGTTCTAATTTCAAATCATTGAAAAATCCCTCAAGTTATCTTAACACCCAAAAGGGGAAACTGTTCTAAGATACAGGAATATCTATAGATCCAAAAGAAAGAAAAACAGGAGGGCTTCATAAAAGCCTGAAAGTCAGTACCAAGAAATTGTTTAAAAAAAAACAAGATTACTTCCTTTGAAACTCTCGTTGCACTATCTCTTCTTTCTGTGTCTCTTACAACTGGGCTTTATTCTTCTCCTTCTCGGCTTTTAGGGTTTCTAGCTTGCTTTTCTTGAACATGCATAGAATTAAAAAGAATCTTCTCAAGCTAGCTCTCCATTTTAATGGCGCAGTTGAGCTTCCCATTTCAATGACAAGCTTTTTAAAATCCCAAGTCAGAATTTATGGAGGAGAGAAGTGAATTGTCTCAGTCTGAATCAGGTGTACACCCTTAGCACTTAATACTGATTATAGGATTTAAGGTCGGAACTATGTGTCTTAAGTCCAAGCAAATGATGTAAACTGAATTTATTGCAACAGTTCATTGATCTAATTCCTGTATCAATACATATTGTCTTTTAAAATACCAAAAGCATAAATTTACAACTAGAGGATGTCATAATTTGTGTTGTGAAATTTTAAGGGAGAGCCAGCATTTGAAAAAAAAAATGTAAGAAGGAAAAAAACTATAATTATGCTTTCTGTCCCATTGCCACCTGAATTGTGAGGCAATTGCCTGACAAGAGCATAACTATTTTCTTTTCCTTTCCTTTCCTTTTTTCTTTTCCTCTCTTTTTCTTTCTTCTTTTCTTTTCTTTCTTTTCTATTTTTTGAGATGGAGTCTGTCATCCAGGCTGCAGTGCAGTGGCATTATCTCAGCTCACTGCAACCTCCAACTCCTGGGCTCAAGCAATTCTCCTATCTCAGCCTCCCAAGTAGCTGGGATTACAGGTGGCCCTCCACCATACCCGGCTAATTTTTGTATTTTTAGTAGAGATGGGGTTTCACCATTTGGCCAGGCTGGGCTCAAACTCCTGACCTCAGGTGATCCACCCTCCTCAGCCTCCCAAAGTGGTAGTGATTACAGGCGTGAGCCACCGTGCCCGGCCCTATTTTCTATAATCTATTATTTCTCATAAGGATCTAGGTAATAAGCCAGGAACCCAAAAATCACCTGCTGAAGCATAACAACCCAATTCAGAGGTGGCTTCAAAAGAGAGTGGAGATGTGGATTTTTGCCAGTAACATTATGCATATGATTTCTCTCTGTCTGTATTTTCTGGGAATGTCATTGACCTAAAGTCCAGACCTACACCATTTCCTGGGCAACAGCCAACAGTATGACCAGACGACAAGCCCCAGACTACCTTAGTTGGGTTTTCCAGAAGCAGAAACTAACTCAAAGATTTGAATAAAATTATTATATTTGGAGGGTGAAAGAAAACATCCATAAGGGAGTAAGGAAGAGAAACAAGGACGGGAAAGCAGCCAAGAAAGAGTGCGTTGCCAAGCTAGTAACAAGTGCGGGTACACAAAGATTAATCCTATGGGGGAAACTCTAGGAATCAGAGTCTCATATCAAATTAATAAAACCACATGACTTAGAGTCACTCCGAGGAGGTCACCAAGGGAAATCATAAACAAACTCCAATCACTTATGTGGTTGAGAGCTGATTCTAGGGGTTTTTAATTCTCTACTTCAGTTTGCCATGCTGGCAGCAAAGCAGTCTTTAGAGCAAGAAAAAGCCCTCAATGTAGTGGAGGTACCAGCAGCTGCACTGAAATGATGAGGAAGGTGAGATATTGATAGGACACTGAAGTCATCCCCTAAAATCCACCTGCTCAATCTCTGCATGCCCTGTGTTAATTCTATCCTGTGTTGATTCTTCAAGGTGGTAGACAGACAATGTTTATTAAATGATTAAATAAAATACAACAGGAGGGATCGTGGGAGAAACCGTAGTCTGCTTCGGCTGTTTTCAAGACAGCAATCAATATTCCTTTTCTCCTCTCTTTTCTACCCATTCTCGACATCCGTCATCCTTGTCCATTTCTGCAGGTCTCGGGTGCGTGCCAGATAGAAGGCTCAGACCTTCATCACTGGAGATGGAAAGGTCTGAACCTTTGGTTGCTTTCTCCTTGTCAAGCTGTAACTGGTGCAATTGTACATTCTTGTGATTACCAGGCATGGAATCAGCAAGATACGTTCAGTGAGTGTCCTGAGTTCTATATGTGCTCCTGGTTCCATTTTATAATGTTATTTCTTCATGATAATCAAAGTCAGTTACGCCTATCAGGTGGCAAAAAGCACTTCAGGTGCAAGAAAAAGCCCAAAACCCATGGACGGAGGGAAAGCTGGATTTAGCAGTTGGATGTGGACAGCGTTCACTGAAATAATAAGGACCCAGGAATGTGAGTGAGCAGGACATTGAGTGGCATCTGCTCTGGAGGCATAGAGAAACATGTCGTAATGTTTTCCCAAATAAGCAAGTAATGGACCTTAGAGATTGGTGACAAGAGTTTTTGGGAAAGTTATGTGGATGGGCTTCTCCATAATTACTCAATATTTAAAATTATTTTGTCCCATATCAATTTTTTTAGAATATCCCAATAAAGGGGATCTGATTTAAACATAATAAGCTACTTCTGGTACTACAGAAAAAGAACTAAAGGAGCAGCATTGTTGAGTGGCATGATTGACAGGCTATTAAAGGAAAACATGGCTGGAAGAAATGTGGATGGATCTCAGTCTCCTGGGGGGAGTCCCTGAATTCCAGACGGAGACCACAGAGCCTCAGAGCTGAGAGCGCTGGCTCAGGAAACGTAGACCATGCAGCTGTTGTGATGGACACTCTCAGCCTTTAAAACGAAAGAAGTGTGTCTGTCAGTATGTCACAGTTGAAGGTCTTCAGGTTGTTTAATTACAATACACATTCTGTTTTTCTGGGACAGCCATTCCTTTTCTTCATTCTACTTCCAATTCTAACCTATCAAAATGCTACTCAGCCTTCAATTTCCTAATTAAATTTTGTTCCTCCAAGAAACATTCTGCTCTCCTTCATTCACCCTCTCTTTTTTATTTTTATTTTTGAAATGGAGTGTTGCTCTGTCACCCAGTCTAGAGTGCAGTGGCACAATCTCAGCTCACTGCAACCTCTGCCTCTTAGGTTCAGGCAGTTCTCCCGCTTCAGCCTCCCAAGTAACTGAATTATAGGTGCCTACCACCGTGCTCGGCTAGTTTTTGTATTTTTAGTAGAGACGGGGTTTCACCATGTTCGTAAAGCTGGTCTCAAAATCCTGACCTCATGATCCACCCTCCTAGGCTTCTCAAAGTGCTGGGATTATGGGCATGAGCTACCATGCCTGGCCCTCATTCTCTTTTAAGAAGTTAACTTTGTTAAATGATATTTAACAATGCATCATGTATTCACTTTTTTGCATGTATTATGTCGTCACTTTTTATGTATTACATATTCACTTCTTTTATAGTTGACTTTTCATCCGCTCTGATTGTAAATTACTTGAGGGTAGAAATATACCTTAGACATCATCTTATCAGTCCCGTAAAACATGCACCTAATGAATGCCAAATGTTTGTCGTATGAATACAGTTTTAATAACCATCTTACGTAGTTCTTGCCTAAATAACTCTTATTTTTAATGTCTGGAGTTGATCATTTTTATTCTACAATAGGTTGTTTGAATCGTACACTAATAACAGTGGAAGGCACAAAGAACTGTGTGCGAATGTGTGCATGTACGTAGAACACGCTGACACTGTATCAGAGCAACGTTGACATCTGTCTGTTAAAATGAGTGAATTTTTCCATCTCAATGCTTTCATTTGCCAACAGTGCCAACTGTCAGAGATTATGGCCACCCATATGACTCATCTTCTAAATCAACATAGTTGGTTTTTGTGTCCACCAGCACTGAGAAACGGCAAACACCAATTTCGTTTTCTCGTTTGTCGTAGTACCATCATGTATTCTAGAATGCTATGCATCTGTATGTTTTAGTAATGGCTTTTATTTTTTTAGAGAAGGAAGGTAGTGAAGACATTTTATAATTTATCAGGACATCGTAATTAGTACAATAAACTAATTTTTCCAACAATAATACTAGAATATTAAAATAATAAGGGCATTTGGGGATTTGTGCATTCCTTATGTCATGTAAATAATATTTATTCTTAGCATTCATGGAAATAACAGACCTCAAATTTCAACACTAGCCGTGCCATTATGAAACTGACTTCTGGGGGTGGAAACCAAATGGTCCCACAAAGGCAACATTATGGCAGTCATAGGAGCTGTGTCAGACTTAGATGGTGTGCTATGATGGGATAAAGCAGGGATCTGGATCCTGGTCAGGCAGACTGTAAAGGATTCCCTGGGAAAAAGAGTTAGGAGAGTTTGAAGCCGTGTATTTCCCCTGGAGCAGCTCAGCATCCTCTGGGGCTTGTCAGAAATATGAGTTCTCAGGTCCCATCCCAGACGTACTGAATGAGACTGCCTGGGAACTAGGGTTCAGGAATTTGTGCTTTGATAAGCTTCCCAGATGATAATAATGTATATGAAAGTTTAAGTAGGAGTTATTAGGTCGTGTGCCTAGAAGACAGCAAATGAAGAGGATGTTGACAGGAAAGAAGGCTAAGGAGGCAGGTTATATACCCAGAGCCTTGTAAAGTGAGTCAGGATCTGGGGTCTACAAAGACCCTAAATATTTTTAAGTAAATGAAATAAAGTAGATACAGGAACAGAGGTGAGGTGACATTATGAGACTTTACCTTTGTTTCGAAAGATCATTCTGGGCCAGGTGTGTTGTCTCAGGCTTGTAATGCCAGCACTTTGGGAGTCTGGAGTGGGGGCATTGCTTGAGTTCAGGAGTTTGAAATCCAGCTTGAACAATATAGTGAGAAACCATTTCTAAAAAAATTAGTGGGATGTGGTGGCATGTGCCTGAAGTCCCAGATACTTGGGAGGTGGGAGGATCACCTGAGCCCAAGAAGTCAAGCGTGCAATCGATTGAACTTGTGCCCCTGCACTTCAGCCTGGGCTAAGGGGCAAAATCCTGTCTCACACACACACAGCAAAATCATTCTGTCTAAAGTATGGACAAGGGGGTTGAAGAGGCAGTAGAGATTGAGATGGGAACTTCTGAGGCTGTCTAGTTGCCCAGGTGAGAAATATTGGTGACTAGACCTAAGAGCAGTATAGAAGAAAGTAATGGATTGAAGAGTCATTTAGGGAAAAAATCCAAAATATTTCATAATTTGGCATTTTTAGAACATAGCACCTTTAATTCTTATAATGTGGCTTATATCTTCAAATGTACTTTTGACTTTATAGAAGATTTGTTTTATTAACAGGAAGATATGGCTGTCGAGACATTAGTAAATATTGCCCACTAGTCAGGGATAACTACAGTGACAAGGAAGACAGTAAGTTGTCATTGTGACCATTTCTTAACCTCACCAGCTAGTTGGGCTTTTTCCCATAAGATAAAGGTCACATATTTGCTCAAGAGCTACTGCAAAAATCTGAGACACTGATTTATTAATTTAGTGGGTACCCACATGTGCAAGACGTTTGCACAGAAGTGAGATCCTCTAAAGAACGTGTTGAACCTTCATTTGAAGCTTACACTGAACACTCCGACTGTGCTCCTGAGAGAGATTGCGCAGAACACGGCCTTAAATCCAGCTAGTGTCTCTGTAAATCCAAATATCCTGCTACTGAAAAACAAAAACAGAAACAAAAGCCAAACACCAAAACCCTGCGGAGTGTTTGTTCCAGTCATGGTAGATCAGTTTCCTGAACATCTACTATGTGCAAGCCATTTGTAGAAGTGGAAGATGTCATCATCACTTGGCATGTTTCCTTTCTTCCCATGGCTTCCTGTTTGGTTAAATGGTAGAGTCATGTGAATTAATGAGTGCAATAAAAAGCCATACGGGCTTCCAATATATCTGTACGGACATTGATTCTCCCTGGAGTTAGGAATTAGTGCTCATGAAGAACATAATATTATGCTGACTATTGCAATATGAGTATCTGACAAATAAAGGCAGTGCAGGGCGTGATTAAAGACACAAGTTTGGGTTAGCACGGAAACATGTCTGCAAGACACAAGCAAAGGTAATTTTTCTGTTTTGTTTTGCATGTGGTTTAAATATCTCATTGCCACTCCTCTGGCCTTGGAATTTCAGAGCTGGTTTTGTCTCCACAATCACATCGGCCTCATTTGGCAGCTAGCATTAGCAGTACAGATGGCGATCACTGCAGTTTTATAACATGTTGGATGACTCTTTTTGCTTTAGCCCAAAAAGTATGCAGGAGCACATACAAATCAACTCAGTGCACATGTACCACGATCTTGTTGCAGACTCTCATGCAGTGGAAGGGCATGTGGGTTTTATATATTTCTAAACAGCATTTTCTTTGAAAATGCATCCATGTCTGTTATTCTATCCTGTAGTGTGTCAAATTTTTTGGAATAGAAAACTCGAATGCTCCCCTACCTCCATAGCATGTTATTTGCTTTATAAACAAACCAAAGGAAAAAAAGCAGACAAGAAAGGTGTATGCTGGAGTGGAAATATGTATGCCTTAACATGCACATAGAGGGGTGAATTTTAAAAGCTGTAAGTAACAATTTCATACCAATAATGTCTCAAGAAGGCCCCTCTATTTTCCCCCATGGCAAGGAAAAGCAGCCAAGTTTCCCTTGTTCAATATCTTGAAATGGGCTCCATTTTGAGCCCATGGTATGTAACTCTAATGCCTGTGGAAT